ACAACAAATACAGTTTCTATCTCAGAATTTTTCTTTAAAAATCTGATGGACAGTCTCCATGCTGTACTGCGATTCTTAAAGACACAAGGCTGATCTTGCAAATAGGTTCCTTAAGTCTTTTGAAAAAGACCTGCATGGATGTTACTTAATAGAAAACATGTAAAGAAGTCATCTTTAACAGCAATGGTTTGAGCTAGCCCATTTTACTTCGCACTTAGATGGACTAGAAAAGCTTAGGCAATTACAGAACCTTAATTGTGGTGACAGTGACCTTCAACTCAAGGTGACAACTTGTCAAATTGCTATTACTTCCGGCACTGAACTAAGCAATCAAGTTCAGAAAACAAGTATTCATAGCAACTTAGGGACCATGCTGCCTACATGTAACACGATAAAAGGACATTTGTTTGGGTTTTTTTTTCCTCAATAACGAGGCACTAGGAAAAATATTTGCCTACCAAAGCTTTTAAACTTTCGCATTCATAGAGCTTTGATTTTGAAGTCATTTAAAACTTGTGAAAGTGTGCTAGTGTTTCTTCAGTGCTGAACCATCAGTTACTAGAATAAGTCATTCTGTGTACTCAATTGATGATGAATCAAAGGCTGTTTTTTTCTTTTCAGCACAAAAGTTCAGTAGAGCACAGCCCTTGTTACACAAATCAACCATCGTTTCACATTATTTTCCTATTCATTCAAACTTCCTCTTTGTAAAAGAAAGTTTTTAAGAAATAAATTTATCTGTTTTCATGAGGTCCTTTATGAAAACGCCATTTTTAACAAATAAGAAAAAAGTTAAAGACAGGTCTATTCAGGAGCATTTTGCACTAGCCAACAAGACGCTGAAACTTGCTGTGTTGTGTTGCCCTCTTCAGGTCGACAGCACTTATATTTTCTAGCTCTTTTGCTTGACGAGTCATTGCATTTCAACTTCTTTCCTACAAATTTTCAGATTTGCAGTTCCAAGTACAGCTAACTTTACCTCTCTATCCCACCAGTGCTTAAAGCATTTTTGATCTAAAATCCTATCAAAATAAACTTTCATTTCGGCCTCTACGTTTCCCTAACTTTGATACTAATCTTGAGGATTATGAAAATACCAGCTAGTGTTTGAAAAGATGACTAAAATAACAATTGCAGCACTGGTAAGCAAACCTCATGACAAGAGGCTTAAAGAGTTCAATTGATTCAGCTTACCAAAGAAAACCGAAGCTACTGAAATCTCCCCATAAGTGAACCTGGAGGTTAGAAAGTCAGATGACTTTAAAGTGGTGTAAGGCAAAACAAAATCCAGAAACTGAAGTTTAAGTCAGACAAATTCAGCCTTGAAACGCAATGAAGGCTTTTCACTCAAAACAAAAAAAGATTTTAATAGCCTACCAGCATAAAAGGATGGATTAATTATTACTTGAAAACTTTACAGGTGGACCCAGTATCTTTCCAAACAATCTGTTTTGATCAGTTTTTGAGTAGTTGCCATAACATGGGCCAAATTGTAAAGCTGATTTGCATCCTTGTGATGGGTTTTGCAATTGATTATCTGAGCTCTGTCAATTAATGTGGAAATACGAATAAAACAGTCTTCCATTGCTGGGAAAGGGCCATGCTTGGGCTTCTGATTCATTTATTAAGCCAGATGTTAATAATGTCTTAGAATACTTTATTTTCCCCTCCCACCTTGCTATTTTTAGAGGACAGGTCGTGGTAGATATTTAAATCTATTTAGACATCTCAGTACTGCAACTTTGACAGAAAGAGCAAAGTGTTGGATTCAACTGATGTATTAAGTATGGAGAATTTCACTCACATTAGTAAGGCAGATAAATATCATAACAATTTGTGACTGTATGATTTAATCACAACATCTTAAGAGACTTAGGATAGCAAAAACTCGTTCAAAGCTAAGGCCTACTATGTAATTAGGCAACAAAATTAATAGCCTAATCAAAACCTTTAGAAATAGAGGCAAACGAAATGCTCATTCCTTTACCATGGCATATCCCAGTACCCAAATAAACAAGCAGCAAATAAACAATCCCATCATGCCCTTTTGGGCTGGCAAACACACAAGAGCCAGCCTGTCTTAAGCCAAGTGTGACTCTAGAAAAGCTCAGAAGAACAGACTCCAGAGGAAAGAAAGAAGATTGACAGGGAGAGAGCAAGAGCAGGTGGGTAAGCATGACACAGGGAGAGAGCAAGATACCAAAACTCAGAGATGAGTGCAAACTAAGTGCACAACAACTGAGACTCAGAGTGCTCCCATCTGCAGCGTCAGACTCAGCAGGGTAGTCTCTATCAGCCCATAGAGACTCCTCCCTGGTGCCTGACATGCCCTGTTGTCACAGTGCCTGCAGCCAAAGACGGATCAAAAATCACTATTTTTAAACCGTCTCTCGTAGACAAAGTTTCCACCCATGTCAAAAGTTCATCTGGTACAAGTTCCGGATGACAGTTTAGACTATGACAGCTGGTAATAAAATCTCCAAAACCTCTTAGCTAACTTAAAATTACAAATTAGTTGATCCTTAGTGATACTCAGTCTTTTCCTTCATCGTCTACAGTACGTGCCAGGATTCAGGTCCAATCTCAGCAGCTACACTTAAAAGAAGAGGTGCTGGACAAGGGCTTTTAAAATTACCTGTGGTTAGTTTAGTTCTGACTTATCCAAGCACGATGTTCATATTTTTGCCACCTTTCTCCCCCACACACCATCACATTCAGATACCACACGAGGTATGATTCATATTATTCTTTAGAAATGTATTTTAATACACAAGCTTTACAACTGAAAGACCCTTTGAGTTTTGAAAATATCAAGCCTTCAGTGAAAAGCATGTCAGATCACTCTTGCATGCATTTTTTCTGCAGCAACTTTTCCCAGTCACATCTAATCATTGCCAAGAATGATTTTTCTTAGTCGATATCATAATCTAGTACGTTTCTTTGAAGAAAAACAAATTCATTCACCTCCTACAGTCAAAACACAATCTAGGTAGTTCCCTTCACAGAATTTCCGTCTAATAATTTTAGGGTAGTGGAAGGTATGGAGATTAAGAGGAGGAACTATCCCCACTGAAGGCAATGTCGAGTAATTTCCTGTCATGCACCTTTATATCCTTAAGAATCTACACAAACACTATGTGAAAAACATAGGGAATAAACATCCACTGTAATACAAAAACCCAGGCTAAACTGGCTTTCAGGTATTTATCTAGGGATATGCAAGCAACCAATTAGAATGCAAAGCTGACTTCTACCAGCACTAATGGAAATTAAATGCAGAGTGGGGGTTAAACACATCTTAAGAAAACTTTTGAACCAGTTATTTCAGCATATGGAAGTCTGTCACTAAGTACTGTAAAATTATGTTAAAACTACAGGAATTAATTCCTCGTTTGGAATCAAATTATAATCTCACCCTTCCTAACGCTTTCTGAAAGTTCCTTTAAATACATAGACTTTTATGACGAGCAGTAATCAGTACACAAACCAACAAAACCAAAAAATGCTAGAAACACCTGCATCCACTTTTTTAAAAAGAGGAACATGACTGAAAATGTTTAGAAATATTAAGAGCAGCATTACTGAAAATAATACACACCAACCTTCTAAAAGGCTGCCTCAGCATCACCTTTATTTGTGTTTGGTCTTCGATTCTTAGTTAGATATTTGGGGTTTAAACTATAGCAAGTAGGGGTTTCCATTGAAAAGATAATGAGAATCAAGATAAGTACTACTGGTTAAAGGGATAGATATTACTGAATTAGATTTTTTTTTTCCCTTTTCTTTAAAAAGCTTTACTAGCATGAAGTCATGTGATATCATACAACGTTTTCCTCATAGCTTAAAGGTCTGTACCTTATTCAGACAGCAAAATCTCCATTTCACAAACCCATTTACGTGATTTCTATGAAAAGACTTAAAGAAACCCCAATCACCTATCAAAGAACTAAACAACTTAGTTACCGACTAAACAAAATACTGTGAGTGAACTACTTCTGATACATACTTTTGATACTTACACAAACTTTACCATCTGCTATGATCTCTGACAGAATAACTGACTTCCGTTCTCAATCTAAGGTTTCACTATGATGGTAAATGTCTTATATCTAACACTAAAAGTGACTTCAGTTCCATTGCAAGATTGTATAGGTTTGTATGGTAATTAAAACAGTTATAAGGTAGTATCAGACTATTCAGTACTATGAATAAAGGACTCAAGAGTTACAGGTGGAAAACTTAAATGTAAATAGATGAAAATGTTTCCAAGATGAAACAGAGAAGAACGGTTTAATTTACGGAAAGGCTACACAAATTTTGTATAAGCTTTTAACCATACTGAATTCCAAACTTCATCATGACCTTAATGCTATAAAAACTAAGGGGACATCAAAAAACTGTAAGGAATTCCAAGGAACATGTCTCCAAATAAACTGTTGAGAAAAACAGAGCACTGGTGTATTGAAATAGAAAAACAATATTCAAAGCTACTTTTGGATTGCGAGGTATACAATTAGAAGACAAAGGTAAGAACTAGATGCAAGACCTATGCCATTACTTTCACCTTATAATGCCAACAACAAAAGAAGCCTACACAGTGGCTGAGAGAAAAGCATTGCTCCTGGAATGTTTCGCTTAGACCTTTCAGAGGGCATTTTGCATCCACAGTAGTCTTCATGGTTAGCAGTTATTTCTAATGACAGAATTAGCTTTTTTTTAAAAAAAAAACCAACAACACAACAAAAATATATTCTATGCCAGCCTTGGCACATTCTCAAGTATTACACACTTACAACACTATGAATGGTAATTACCTTAGAATAAATACAGTCTATTTTGTCTTTGCTAATTCATACAACCCAAAGGTCCGGCAAAGATGAGCATACAACATTCTACCATGATGTTAGAAAACGGAAGGTATAATTCTCAAAACAGATTATGATATATGACACCTCAGTGAAAGCGTTTGGTAAAAGTGGTTTTATTTCATTGTCTCCTACCTGATAAATTCTAAATGGGATGTATCGAAATCCACTATCTTCTGGAGGATACTCCATGAGTTTTCGATTTATTGCCCAAAACTGCTCAAATTTATCTGTGAAGGTAAAATTAGATTTTGTTAATATTAATACCATATATTCTTTTTCACCTAAAAAACGTACATGAGACACAACTGGAATGCAAACTTTTCTTACAGAAATTTGACCTATATTATTTTCCCCACATTTCTATTCCCTGTTTAGCCTGAAGCCAAAGGTAAGTCATCTGCATTCTCCTATGAAAACACTGATGAGGCAACTTACCAAACTGAAAGAGAAAGCAACCTGAATTCATATTGTATCTCCCACTGTTAGGGTAATATTAGTCCACAAATTATGAATTTCATTACCGCAATCAACAGTGCCTGTTTCTCCACTCCCTGCTACTACTGGTCCACACTGCCTCACGGTTTGTTAAAAACACCTAATTGTTCTTTACTATAGATGAACAATAGGTGTAAAGTATAAAGAAACTAAAGCAGTAGAAAAAACTTCTTGAGGGGTTTACATTTGAACATGTAAAACTTAAAGTAATCTGCAACAACGTGTGATATAATCAGAAAATATACTGCCAGTTTCACGACACAACCTGAAAATAAAAGTTTATGTTTGAAACACGTTTTTTTTTGTTAATGTTATACAAGCAACTAGGTTTAGTAAAGCAGCCCAAGGCAGCACACCTATTTCATCCTGTTCAGACATTACAAGAACTGAATAGTTTATTGCGCTTAAGATGAATTAAGGACTGCACAGGCCTAGAGGAGCAAAGGCTTTTAAACATGCAAATCAATTACTCAAGTCAAGCAAACAACCAATACCAAAAGCGACAGAAAGGAACATGAAGAGCTAAGATGAACAAAGCTGCCGTTAGCCTTAATGGAGAAGGCAGCTTTAGAAGGAGAAGAACAAGGAACAAGTCTCCTTATAGGCCCTAACTCTCCAAGAAACCAAACACAGCAGACGTTTCTTCACAAGGAACACACAGCTCCAATCTTCCCTCCTTGGCACAACATTCAGCCAACTCTCAAGAAGCCTGGCAGTATAAATGCTACAGAATTCAGCCCCCACTGAAGCAAGGTAAAATTCAGAAATCTGTTTGCAGAACAAAGGTTCTTCTTGCTTCCAAAACTGCCAATAATAACTAAAGCAACTGCCGAAAATTAAGAGTCTGAGATTTGCTTCGCTCCAGTGTGCAGCACAGATGACTGTCAGAGCATTAAAAGACATAGTTAATACATATTGCGGAGTTTATAAAACATTCCTTTTCCTGACTGAATGTGACACAAGGCAGGAATCTCCAAGAAACTGTAAAACAAACTCCTGCCAGGTATTCTGCAGGAGCATTTCCTGATACTTATCTCTGAAAGTACTTCCACACCCTTGTTTCCTGATCAGCTGGAAGCGTCTCTTGACATGCACTTACCTGTGCTGGAGCCAGCACCACCAGGCAGGCACCTGCCCGAGATGAAGAGCTGCCGGGACACAGGGTGCTCCCCCATGGCTCACCAGCTGGGAAGCTCAGCAGGTGGCAGTGACAATGATGACCCTGGAGCTGACTGTACCAAAGCAAGCCTGCATTTGGGAATCACAGCCTAGAGTCAGATGTTACTCTTACAAGGTCTGACATGAAGAACGACCGCATCCTCCTGTCAGCGGGAAGGTGAGGATGTAGCACACTTCCCTCATCCTTGGAGACAGCACTGAGAACAGCTTACAGCTTTCACTACAGATTGTGTGGACAGGCATTCTACTGTAGACATTAAGACATTAATCGATTTATACTTCAATTACCACTTCTGACTATAAACTCAGTTGATAAAACTATTAATTATGGTGATACATGAAACAAAATAATCAAGACCTACTTAAGCCAGTGAGCTTCAGCAGACTCTTAAATAAGGAATCTACATATTTGGAGACATCCTACCTGAACAAAACTAAAACAAACATTAATTTAATTTACTTGTTTAATGCTCATATTACAGTAACTAGGGAAGTTGGATAAAGAGTTTACTGTCTTCAAAATTCAATAATGATAAGCAACACATCTCATGGATCAGAAGAACAAGAAATTCTGAACAAGTAACAGACTTATGGTGGGAGCTTAAGTATATTGTTCCTTGTGGCATATATGGCAAACAAGTGAATCTTTGAAAGACAAAAAAGGTTAAACAGTGGTAATGTATAGTTAACTCACTTCTGTTCTTCATTCCAACTTCCTCACCTCCCAGAAATCATGCAGGTAATCTTATTTAAGGCAGTAAGGCATACTGCCTTAAGTATACTTAAGTAAGGTATACTTATTTAAGTATAAATTTATACTTCTCAGATTATTCTCTGAGCACTCAGACAACGCTCAAGACAATCTATTGTTTTATCAAGATGTTTAAAGTTCTAATAATTTCTGTAGTTTCTAAATATAACAGCAATAAATCTCTAACAGTTGAATGACAAACTTGTTGCATTTTGTAATCAAGTATGTTGTGGCAATCCACCTGATATCCCAGGGAATGAAAAACTTTCTAGTAAATTAGCTAGACATAATGGAGTCAGATATCTTGACATGTGTACAGCACTGTCTGAAGACATCTAAGCTAATTCATCCTCATAATCTTACATTGCTGTCCTCCAAACATCTTTTCACAGATACAATATTTTTATGCCAGGAAACTGAGTTGAGTGTAAGAAAATTAACACAAATTTTTAAAGCAAGCAGCAGGAAAAGGCTATCCAGTTTGCATACTGATACATACGACCTGGCAAGAGCTTTTATTAGCATCAGGAGCATTGGCTGAATGCCAGAATCCTAAAGCTCCAAAATACAAAATCTAAAAATAGCTCTTTCACAGAACCCTTAAGACTCAAAGCTTAAAACAAATAAAAAACCCTGACACCACCCAACACCCCTCCCTCAATCCTCTTGAAAATATAAGTGAAAGAATTAATCATTCTCCCATTTTTGTGTTTCAGTACCTCCTATTTATGCAAACCAGACTTAAGCTATTAATGCTACAACAAGCTATAAGAACTAATTAGCCCTTTGGCTAGACAGGACTTAAAAGACAGAAGGTGCTGGCCGGAAGTTTAACAATCAAAACAAAACTGAGTTTTCATCAAGCTGGTAAACAAGGAAGAGTTCTCTACCTACCAGCAAAAGCACTTCACACTCTCATCTCCCTCCCTCATGAAAAGCTTATGCAGTTTACATGATATCTAAACTCTTTTAACAGTCAAATCTGATTACTTTTAATTTCCACGATCCATCTGTTTTTAAGAAAGTTCTTGACTGATGTGTTGAAGAGTTTCTGTATTAGCAAAAAACAGTACTTGCAAAAGGCAGATGTTCATATCTGAATAACAATATTTAAATTAACAGCTACAAGATTCGAACAGAATGAGATTAGTGACAGTATAAAAGTTTCAAATGACTCTGCTATCATATTTCTTAAACAAGAGAGGATGGTTGCTATATAACTTTGCCTAAAGTGAAATATAAAAAATTTTCTCTATTTTATGTCAAAGATCAGAAAGTTAATAACCAAATAATGAAGGAGACATCCAGTTGAAAAATCTATCAGCTAAATCACTTACATTTATAAATATTCATTCATCAGAAATGCAGTCACTGCATGTCCAAACACCAGACAGACATCAGCCTTCAGTACCACAGAGATGCACAGAATCTAAGGAGAGCTTTGGAAATATCTATTTACATATACAGAAATAGTAAGAGTCGGCAAAACTACAAGGGCTTAATGTCATCCATAACAAAAATCTCAGTACACAAATCCATTAAGCGACAAATTAAGTCTCAAACATGAATTTACAAATACAGTGTGTCATGTTTGCACTTAGAGTTCAGTAATCTATCACTGAAATTGTTCATGCCTTTAAAGCATCCTTTAAAACAGTCAGGGTTTTTTGTTTTAAAAAGAAGGCTGTTAACAGGAAAACACTTTGAGAATTGTTGTTTCCTCCATTAAGCAAGACTGGAGAGCCTTTAGCAGTCATTGACAATAATCCAAGTTTGTAACTGTTACTTTAAAAAGTTGTTAGCAACTCCAGTCACAGTTTGTTGTTAATAAACAGTAACTGCTGAACCTTTTACTACTAAGCAGTGTTAACTAAGGGTTAGCCAGGCTGAAATTTTGAAGGATGGGCCTCTTTCTCAGGCTGACAGGTGATGTTCTTCAATCAGAAAAATTCGTTTTATTTGTGCTAGCATGTAACAGTCATCCTCTGACACTCAAGTGCTGTCGTGCTTCAAATAACTTGAAATTTCACAAAGGTCTTTGTTAGATGCATCTCTTTCACCCACCTGACTCTCTACAAAAATTGTAACCAGAATGGATCACTAAAAGGGTGAAGGACACCACTCAAGTGCTTGCAATCAACACATGCATTTCAATGTAGCATAGCTTTAAATCAGCATACACAAACAAAGAATACAAGCAATTATCACAGAATGAGAAATTATATCTGCAAGTAACTTGCGATGACACAGTGGTCACAGCCTGTGGCCAGTTAAAATGCAGTTCTCACAGTAGAACAGCAAGCAAAAGAACTAAAACAAACCACCTTAATCTTTAAACTTATAAACAGAAATATCTTAATAATAAGGAAGTACTCAGTTTCTATATTTGACACTGATGTAACTGCTCTCAGAATACTGACTTTAGAAGGGGATGTATTTCAGGAAGGCTGCAGAGAAGGTTTAAATAATGGAAAAAAATTAAGGCAGAAATGAGGGAGATATTGTTTAAATTCAAAGAGGAAATGGTAATTCACTGTTTTTATCTTCCAGCATCTTTAGTCAAAAAAGTGAACAAACAGGTGTAGCCCTCAGGGTAGCATATACACAGGAATTTTTGTCTGGACTATTCACGGTTTCCTTTTAAAGACATCTAGTTGAACAAGTTTTAAAAATGCTTGGAATTGAATTGTATCTCTAGTTCTATGCAAGCAATACTAATTTGCTGTTTGCATAAAAATTAGTCCAATCCTTGAGTTTAAAAAAAACACAAAATATTTTTTGTTTATTCTCAGTAGTTCACTG